CAATTCGTATAGATAAGGGGCTAAAAGTGTTATAATATAAGGTGAGGGGTTAAAACCTACCAACTTTGTAAGGTAAAGGGCTAAAAGTGTTATTTATAAGGTTTGGGGCTAAAACCTACCAATTTTGTAAGGTGAGGGGCTAAAAGTTGGTTTAGCCCACAATACTGTGGCAGATGACCCCATCCAGTTTTTCAATAGGCATCTCGTTCAGTCCCTCTAGTTACGAAGAAATACAAATGAGACCTTTTCACTAAGATGATGTCATGAAACGTGGGCAAGCAATCCACCAATCACCATAACATGCCTATGTTATTTCGCTGCTTTGCTATTGTTGAGGTGGAGCTTACATGGCAATTGAGTGGTAATTCCTCGTTATTTAACTGATATTATTTTTTCTGGTACAAAAGAGAAAGTTATTCTCTTTTTTTCTTTTAATTCTTTTTTATTAATTTTAAAATTTGAAATAAAGATTTTTAAGTTAGAATTTTAAATTTTTAATCACTTGAAATATCACTTTGAGAAATTTAATTGATATATCATATAAATCACTAAATAGACAAAAAAAAATTTACTACTAAATTTAAATGTGAGATAGGAATATCACTTCCTCTATTCCATAATAATTGTCTTTTTTTGACATTTTCTTCAAATTAAAAATTTGAAAACTATTTATATATTTATTTATATTACCTTTAAAAAAAGTAAAATGATAAAGTAAGATTTTTTCGATAAAATAATTACTCAAAGTAAATACATAATGATAGAGTTAAAATACAAAAAAAAAAAAATATTTGTTCACCTTAAAAGATGAAAAAATAACAATTAAATTGGGACAAACTCAAACTGCGCATTTGAGTTGAGGGGAATGGAGAGGGGAGTGTAGGAGAGGGTAAAAATTTTCTCTATTTGGTTATCAAAAAAATTGAAGAGGAGAGGAAAATTTTTCTTTATTTTATTTTTTTCTTAATTTGTTAATTTATCTAACTAAGGAGAAAGGAGAAAAGGGGAATGGAAGGATTAAATTTCCCTTCTCTCCCTTCTCCTCCTCTCCATTTCCCCTAACTCAAACATAAGAAAAATGATAAAAAAAAAAATAAAAACGATTGTTATTTTGTAATACAGTAAATACTATGCTTTAAAAATTTATAACCCAAATACTATAAACCAGAAATATTAATGACTAGTATTCTTTTTTCTCTAATAAAACTTTGCCACCACTTCATCATTAACTTCATCATAAAATTTTCTTTTGAGACTAGAATTTAAAAGTTTATCCCCAAATTAAATAATCAGTTCACCTCCATATTTCCAATTAAGTTATTATATAAATCTTTCTTGAGCTTTGAAGTCTAGCCTTTGTATGATCACCTTAGGCTCCCACCAATATCTCATTAACGTAATTTTTTTTTTGTTAATAAAAGTTAATTTATTTATATAGAATATTCTCTTTCTCAATTTCAAGTTTTAATTTAACGTTGAGACATTTAAACGTTTTAAGGTAAATGATCATGCATTAAAGTCAATAATGTCATCATGTAGATTAAATTTTAATTCTTTGTTTACTACAACGTATGCTGAAATTTAATTGTTTTAATTTATTTTTTTAATTTTTTAAACATTTGTTTTGTATAAAATTAACATAGTATATAAATAATAATTAAATTTTTTTAATTAAATGAAACTACTCAACATATAAAAAAAATAATTATCATTCATATATTTTGTTAAATTCTTATATGAAATAATGTTTAAAGAAAAAAAAATTAAAACGAGTAAAGTTAGAGAAAATATGTAAATAAATATGTCAACTTTGCATTTTTTTATTTAAAGATATTAATTTTGCTAGTTTTTAAATAAAGATATTAACTTTTAACTTTTTTTATTTAAAAATGTTAATTTTCATTTTTTTTTAATTTAAGAATACTAACTTTCAATTTTTCCTATTTTAGGATTAGTTAGATGATAATAGTAATACGACAAGTATATTTTTTAATTGAAATATTGAAAGTTGGCATTTTTAAATAAAAAAATTTAAAGTTGATATTGTTAAATTGAAAAAATTAAAAATTGACATTCTTATTTAGAAATTGATAAAATTAACATCTTTAATAGAAAAAAATATGAAGTTGACATTTTTATTTATACCTTTTCTCAGTAAAGTTGAGTGGAGTAGTTAATTAGATGGTGTAGATATTGATTAGCAAACAAACATGTCATTGGAATAAAAAGATAATGTAACAATTAGGGGTTTTTTAACCTTTAGGGTAAGAGTGCATTACTTGCACTTTTCTATAATTAATTTGTATTGGAAAAATTAAAAATTAGTTTTAGTGTTATTAACCATTCAATTAAAAATATCTATGTGACATTAATGATAAAAATAAAATCAATATTTTTGTAATTTTTTTTATAAATATTAAATATAAAAAAATATAATGAATACCCTTTCACCTCTATCCACAAATTAGGCAAACTCTAACAATTAATGCATGTGGAGATAGAGGTGAAGGCTAAATTTTAATTGAAAAATAAGTTAGTGATTAATACACTAAATGAATTTAAACATGTCAGTGAGCATGTTAGCTCCACCCAAGCGCTAACAAAGCAGGGAAATAATGGAGGCGTTTTATGGCGGACAGCGTGCTGATGTTTCACGAGATCATTTTAGTGAAAACAGCTCATTTTCATTATTTTGTATTATCTGGAAGGGGCTGGATGCCAATTAAAAAACTAAAAGGGGTCATCTGCGACAATAATGTATCTGAAGGGGTTGAATTGCAATTTCAGCCATTGAAATTTGTATTTTGTAGCAAATGGGTTGAATTGCAACTTCAGCCATTGCAATTTGCATTTTGTAGCAAATGTGTCCAAGGTCATGTGTTGGGTATGTTCTTAAATGTGGGATCCATCATTTTCACCTTGTTCACATCTGCAGTAGACTGTAACTTTGTGTACTTTTTTACCACTGAAGTTTCGTGGCCTTGTTCCTCAGTGAAAATTATAAAATGGACTATATTTCTTTTGTTTAATACCATACCTCATTTTTGTTAAGTGAACAAATTGTATCGTTTGCAGTTCTATGGTAACCTGTATCTATGGAATAACCCTTCCATCTTTTTACTCCTGAACTTTATGGTCATGGTTTGATTGGTGATAGTGACTATTTACTTATCAAACTATAAAAATAGGATGAATTTAATTGTTTTAAAAAAATTAAGAATAGCTAAGTATTAATGTTAATAATTTTCTAGCTAAGCTTTAATGTTAATAAATATCTACTCAACTAAGAAGAATTTTCCTTTTTTAAGGGGCGTATTTCTTTTTTGGCAGACAAGTATAGGTATTTCTTAATTCTTTATTAATATAAAAGAAAAATTAGACATTAAAACTTAGTTATGTTTAATTTTATATAGAAGTTTCTTAATTTTACCTTACTTTTAAAGTTTAATAAAAAAATTACTACCAACAACCAAGTAAGTTGTGACACCCTAATGTTGCACTAAGTGAGAATAATAAGTGAATATAGTATATAAGTGTAGAAATTAACTACTTCTAATAATTTAAAGTTGAGCTTTTAAAATGTCATACACCTTAAGTTAAAGAGTTATCAGGCAAGTAGTCGAGTTTGGTCTAACTTGTTTCAAAATGACTAAAGACAATGTTTTATATAATATAAAGCTAAATTTTGAATAAAAAAGTTAATCATAAAATGACAAGCTATATTACATAAGTTATTGTATTTAAAATTATTATATATCCATCATTTTCTTTTTCTTTAAACTAAAAGTTTGAAATTCAAATTTTGAAGTAGAGGAGATTTTATTCTTTTTTTTTTTTTTTTTTGAAAAAAATTGGGTTATTCTCCCATTGCCTACAATGACAAAAAATACCACAAAACATAAAAACTTCTGGGCTCTTGACCCTGTACTTTTTTGGGATTAAAAGCCCATAGAAAAGCGAAGCCCATTCTCATAGATCACGCATGATGCAACAAAGACCTAGGCGTCTACGGCCTGTATTTTTTTACAGTTCTAAAATTAAGGCTCTTTAAAAAATTTCAAAGCGACTTAATTGCTATTTCCAATGATCAGTAAACTGAAGATATTTATAGAATTATTCAATGCTTTTATAGGACTTTTGTGATGGAGGAGCTTGTTTTATTATCAGAAATCATCCTTTGTCCCACAAAGATGGGGCTTCGGAGATTCTGTATGTCAAACTTTTCTTGTTTCATAAATTCTTCGTGATTTTTCTTAATTTTTAATAAAATTATGTAATTCTTATGGAGAGTTTCATTTCTGTTCATTATGTTAGTAAGTTGTGACTAGTAGGCATGGACTATGAGGTTCGTCGGCTTTGTCTCTTTTTGGCTAGTTACTTGTCCTTTTTCTCTGCTCATGAGAATTGCAAGGATTGTGCAAAGCTACCACCTTTCTTCTTATTTATTATATGTTGATAGGTAAATCTAAGCATTGTAATTGATATTAGGTGGAAAGGACCTTAGTTGAAATTACGTGAAATACTGTATCTTGCTTATTGACTGGCTTGGCAAATGGAAAGTAGTTCTTAGAAGAATTATATCATATTGTATGATCATAAATCAAAATGTAAAAGTTTATTAATTAATTTATTTTTTATTTTTAATTTGCATGCTTTATTGGCATAAGTGTACCTTTCTGTTAGTGGTGCTTGCAAATTTGACATAAAATTAAAATGTAATGGCTCATTTTCATATCTGGAAGCCTGCATTTAAGAGTCTTTAGTTCTTTTAGTTTCTTTTGGCCATTATAATTCTTTCAATTGGAGAGACCCATTTAAAATATTCCCTTCGCCAACTTAGTCAGATGAGCTTTTCTGCTATAGTCAAAGGCTTTTACAGGTTTTAATATCTGTACCATATAGCAGACTGAAATTGTAGTCAATAAGAATAGATAGAAGCATATGGTTGTATGATATATCAATCCGTAAAATTTTTAAGAAGACATTATTTGATGGGATTAATAATCTTCTTGAACATTGCATGTGGACGTTTTGGATTGTGTATAGTATTGCTGGTGTCATTGCAGTGGAAGTTTTAGCTGGTCTTTATTTGTGTGGTTCACATATATCATGGGAAAAAACTGGCGGTGCACAATTATTTTCAATACCTAAGTTAGCCTTTCTTCCTCATGTTCAAAATGCTGGTATCTTGATCCGTAGACCTATTCCATGGAATTACTACCAGAATGCTGTTACATCAAGCTGTAAGCTTCTATTGTGAGAAATTCCTGTGAATATTAGTATCAGATTTGTATGCCTGGAAGATTCCTTTTTTGTTTTGTCTGATTTTCTAATTTATTTACCTTGGAAGATTCTTTTGCTTGGTGGGACTGGAAAAGATGGCGAAAGGAAATTGATTGGATGGCTCTCCAAGGCATTAATTTGCCACTAGCATCTACAGGGCAAGAAGCTATTTGGCAAAAGGTTTTCCAGGTAATTTTCATCATGTTGATCTTGTTAAATATTGGAGGTTGGAGCTATGTGAAGGATTTGAATATGAGATCTACATTGAAGGCTTATCAAGGAAAAAAAAAGTCACACATTGAAATTTCTAACCTCTTTGTTGGTAAAAGTCGAATCTATACCATTGTGTTATTGTCTTTATTGTTGTCAATTATTTCTTCATGACATCATATTGGGATGTGGTCTCGTTATTTTAGTTTATGCAACTGTGGAATTATATTCTGGTGACCCTAGTAGTTGTTCAATGGTCATGACTGTTTGATTTTCTAATAAGTGTGTTTAATTGGAAGAGTATGTATGTGTCATTTTCATTTGATCCTGTATTGGATGATTGAAATTTCTTGACAGTTTTAATTTTTTAAAATTACTTCACTTCAAAAAATTCATGAATTTTTTCTCTGGTTAGGGACGTTTAGGCTTCCCTATTTCTCATTTGCTATTTATCTTAGCAGAAATTCAATATAAGCAGTTCAGATTTGGATGACTTCTTTGGTGGTCCTGCATTTCTTGCCTGGTCACGAATGGGAAATTTGCATGGGTGAGTAATTTGGATTTCAAGCCAATTTGTTAATAAGAATTCTTGTATAGTTTCTCTTGAGAAATTTTGGCTCTACTTAAACTCGTAAAGTTAGGTAAGAAAGGATTTTAAGATCATTCTGGTTGCAAATATCTGATCCAAAACCTCATAGTGTGGACCCTCTTGATCTGATGAATATACCAGCATTTGAAATGCTTTTAGCGGAGGTATTCTTCTCATGGGCCTTGTTTCTTAGTCATGGAGATGAGAACTTTTGGTTGTGAAGTTACTTTTGTGATTTCTCATATAATGAATAACATTTCAATCACAGTTGGGGTGGACCACTGCCACAAAGTTGGTTTGTTGATCAGTTATCTTTGCAAAAGAAAATTCTTTCCAGAATGTATGAACTTGGAATGACTCCAGGTGATCATTGTAATTAATCAGAGAAGCCATTTCTTTCCTTTTTTTTCTTTCAACTATTAAACTACTCTTCACTTTTTAGCATAAACTAATTAATTTTGTCTCATACCTTTTGTCCTGGTTAAGTAATGATCTTTTTATCTTGATAATGACATAAATTACCCATGGATCTTCAAGACTAGTTGTATTCTAGGTACTAACTAATTTTTCCCTTATTGATTCACACTATAAATGGTTGAGAATGTTTTTGCAGTCCTTCCTGCGTTTTCTGGAAATATTCCTGCGGTATTGAAATATGTATTTCCATCAGCAAAGATAACACGACTTGGCAATTGGTGAGTATGGTTGTGGGAAATGGGAATTAGATGCATGAGTTTGCATTTTATAGCTCTAGTTACAGTTTGGAGATAATCTGTTTTCTCCGAAATAAAATTTTCACGCTGAAAACAGATTTTTATTTTCATTTTTTTTGGGGTGGGGTGGGGGGTGAGTGGAGGGGTGTGAGGTGTAAAGATGAAAAGGGACACTCCTAAGTTTTGTATCCTTCTAAACATTTTGAGATAAAAAAAGAAAAAAATCTGGAACATTTTCATCAACTATTTTTTGGATGCAATGAAATCCAAATTTTAGATGCACAGGCCAGTTGATAGTTTTTCAAGGCATTTTGCTAATAAATTTGAATAATTAAAAGGAATTAGCGAAAGGCTCTCTTGATAGTTTTCTTATGGGAAATAAATATTATAAAATAATAAAATAAAATTGTAAAAGCTGTTCTTTGAAATGAACAACATAAAGGCATGAATGAAAGTTCTTTTTGGTTTGAGTCTTGAGATGCCTAAGATGGAAATCATGGGTTATGGTATCTCTCTAGTTGCTGATGCCTTGAAATATCATTTTTGATGGATAGAAAGCTGATATAGAGAAAAATTTATTAGTAACACATCCTCTCCACTATTTTTGTTCTTCCATTACATATCTTGTTTGCTTAAAACAAATGAAGTGGCTGAAAGTCAAAGGATATTCAACCATGTGGTTGTAAATCTGAGAAAGTTATATGACACTGGTGGATTAAGTTGAGAATGTTAGAGAGCTCAGCTGTAATAGTTGATTACGACCTTTATGATTTTCAACAGAAGATGGGAACATCATAATTTATAAATTTCTATTTTCTTCAGGTTCTCTGTTGAAAGTGACCATAGATGGTGTTGCACTTAGCTTCTTGATGCAACTGATCCCTTGTTCATTGAGATTGGAAGAGCATTTATAGAGGAACAGCTAAATGGTGTGTTCCACCCTGTTATTTTTTTTTACCTTTCCCTTTTTTTGCTTCTCTTTTCTTAGGCATATTAATTAAATAGTTAGGGTTTCTTTTCCTTTGTGCAAAAGAAATAAGCAAGTGATCTAAACTTTTTTCATGCATGGATTCAGAAAATGGAAAGAGTGACTACATA